AAAAAAAGCTACAATAATTATGGTACCTTAGACAAATACTTTCTTCACTTATACAGTAGAACAGATGTACAGCACAGCACCCTGAAGGTAGAAAAAACCTCCATCTCATTTCTTCCCACTTCTACATTCCACCTCTAGGTTTGACTCCAGACTCTCTATCGCGATATTATTCATTTTCTTCACTTGCATCCTTTCCTCAGAGAGCCTTGATTGCATATAACTCTTTAAAGTCCAAGCTAGATGTCTTAATTCTTCTCATAGATTGTGGTACATTTGTTTTGATCTCAGTTACGAGAATTAAGGAATACATCAAGACAGTATAAACAGTGTAGTCAGCCAGCTGTGGATGATTTTCTTTAATATCATAACTGCTGCCTGATGATAAGAAAATTAATCACTAGATAATTATTATCTAAAAGTAAACTTTTGTCATATCAACAGTCATGCATCAAAGCTATCAACGTTCATGTAAATTATATGCACAACTCAGTACAACAAAGGGGTGCGAGGTGATCAAAATTTCATGGCTAATCTATCAGACTCTGCATGGAGTGGTCTGAGTTCTGGCCATTCCAAGGGTGATCATGTTCTGTTGCTGCTCAAGACACTTATTTGTCTCAACACTTGTACCTGAGTGTAACCTTGTGATTAGACTCAATTAGCAGCCATGGTTTTGGGAGAACAGCCCAGCCTGAGAGAGCAGCTAAAATGTCAAAAATAGTGCCTACGTTGTGATGGGTTAGCACCTGGCTTGCCCAAAGCCATCTCTGAGTCTCCAACAGGAGCAAGACTTGACTTGGGAATAGTGATAGCAGAGCTCCGGCGGCCCAAAGGTCCACCACGCAGAGCCCCAACTGGCAGCTGTTTGATAACTCACCCTTGACAAGGAGTTTTCCCTCTTCTCCTACACATGACACTGATGACAGAGAATCTAGTCTTTCTTTGGAATTAGCAGAACTCTGAAAAATTAAATTGCAGGAAAATGACTTTCACTAATAAATGTTCACTACTGGGGAGTCAAATATAAGGTGGCACTTTACAAAGGCTGCCCACATAGATGAAACAATTTAAATTCACAAAATGACCCTTTAGCTAAAAAATGTTGACTGATGTAGCACAGAACAATGGAAATTGTTGTCAGTAGCAAGAGAAACCCAACACAGCTTGTGAGGGTGAATCCCCGACTCTAAAGAAACCATCTACATGACGTTGTATGGGCAGCCTGGTGGCCCCATGGCTTACCGAAGGTACCTCAAAATCCAACTTACATAAATTATGTAATTAAAAAAAAAAACTGTTAAATAAATCAAAATAACTTTTGATTACCAAATGTTTATGGCCTTTAAATTTAATATTCAATTTCAATTATGGCACGCTTTAACATTTTTATCGTTATTGCTGTAAATCCCATGACTTTGGAATGTTATCTTGATTAAGTATAGTGATAACATTTAACGCCCTATACTGGTGTGACAATTGTTATGCTTCCAGAACGAATTTACAGAGACAACTTCAGTTGATATTGATTCATTTAAAAGTTAGAAAGCCATCAGCTAAACGTTAAGGAAAGAAAAATAAATATTAAAAATAAATAAATTTTAAAAAGTTAAACTTTAAGGAATCTACATAGTGCCAAGACTTGAAACAACAGAGATGCAGGTGTAATTTTTGTGAGAGACATTTAAGTAAATCACTTGTAGAAGTGGCATAGTGTGTATATGAAATTCAATTACTGGTAAATTCAATCCTTTTAAAGATATAATCAGCTCAATGCATGGGGCAGTAAACATCAAACAACAAATTAAGTTCAGTTTTATTGTCACATGTATCTCCATTCAATATACTGCAAAATTGAGCTTCTCATGACAGCATTCACAAAATTATTAACTCGCAGACTTTTCAGCTTATTCTAAATGTATGTAAAGTTAACATTGGGATGTAACCATAATTAATTTCTATCTGCTAAACATCACACTGCTAAACTTCTTCTTGTTGTATACAAAATGTCTCTATGGAGAGGTTAAGACTAAGAAGCAATTTAATATTCAAGAAGGTAAATATGAAGTCAACACCTTTAAATAATAAATAAAAATAATTGGGAAAAACTGTGAAATTTGACAAACTTAATGGTTAAAATCTGAATTTCTCACTCAAAAAATATCTTTGTCCATTTTAAGATTGCATACATGTACCTACTAACTGATATTGAATTTTAAATTTTACTGTCAGTAATAGACAGGACTGAATAAAATATTTAACCTGAAGATGATTAGGTTTATATCAAGTCTAGCACTCATATACATTGTAGCTAGTCAATGCTTGAAGACTATTTCACTGTACATTTAAACAACATCAAGAGAACTTCATACAATAAGTAAGATAAAAGAACACAGTGTGAGCACAGAGAGAAACTTATCTTACCTTTGCACGCTGCCGTCCATTCATAAACACATAAACATAGACATTGACAAAGTAGTTGTTTTCAATCTGTACATGTGAACTCTTCATTTCGAAATGTTTTTCCTCTTAAACGTTACGGTCCAAAAGACAGTTCTTGAACGAGGAGGAATATTTTGAAGCGAAAAGGTTCTCTTAAACATTACAGAGCTCTCAGAGTGAAGCTCTACAGGAAACACAAGAATCAAAGTTATTATTGTTGTGAGCCTGAATTCAGCTGGCTACAAGACATTATTATTCAAAATCATGATGAAACTCTAAGCTTGAATTAAATATTGCGAGTTTAAAAGTAAGTCAATGAATATTTATGACATTAAAAACAGAATGCCAGCTACTTGTGTCTTTTTCTCTGAGTAATGTACAAATCTCCCTCCATTTTAAGTACAATATACAAAGCCACACTCCAGCCTAGTCAACCATTGAAGAAGACAGTTCCTTAAATTAATTATTNGTAATTTTTGCTGTTTGCTGGAGCTTATGGAGAACCCTGGCAGAGGAAAGTTTTTCTCATAAAGGAGTTCAGTTCAAAATGTTTTGCCCAACTGTTGAAACCAGTTGCTCTCCTGCTGAAAACAGTAATGAAACCCCAGCCTGCTAGCTATGCATGGTGTACTTGAAGATGAGAGGACTAATAACACATGATTTAAGGTGAGTCTGAAGGTAAGAGACAACTAGTGACTGTCACTAGGCAAACGACCCTGCCAACCAAAGCTGCTGGCTCTCAGCAGTGGTGATGTGGACAATCAAGACCCTCAAGTTCTGCTTAAGTACACACCTACTGCTAACTCTCAGGCTAACCGCTTGGAGAAAAACACTCACCACAAACTCCCCATGTGTTATCCAATGCTTTCTCCTCAGTTAAGTCATGATGCCAAATTGTACTTTAAAAAAAACTTTGTTTTACCTCTAACCCAAAGGACAAAATCTAAATTCCATTCCTCGTGAACCTAAGTAGTGCCTGAGAGTATCACCTTGAGCACTTCTCCCTAAGACTGTGCTTTGTCTTGTGTACTGTACATACACATAACTGTCATGTTGTGAATCCATTAGCATGGTTTACTTCATGGCCTCGCAGTTTAACAAGATAATTTTTGTTCACAGCCACTACCAGCACAGTCAACCATGTTTCAAAATATATACAGTCACGTAATTTTTACAATTTTTATCAGCAATGTGGTATACACTGTAGTTTGAGGTATAATTTGAGTGTACATAGCACAGACAAATTGATACCACACGATAATACATGTATGCTGACAAGAAAAGTAACGAAACGTAGATAACGATGACCATTTAATAGTGCTACAGTATAATACCAAACTCAACAATGTTGTTAAGCTCACTTTCCAACTTTGAATGTCAATGTACAACAATAACATGTACATGTAGATCACAAAATAACAAAAAATTTGAAAGTATGAATGTCTGATCAGTTAGCTTAGTATGGCAACAAAGCTAGCTTTATCTGTAATCAAGGTGTAAAGAAATTGCTACAAGTACCTGCTGCAGGCAAGAATGGGGTGTGTGTGAGTAGTGCTGGACACAACATATTAACTACTTACCCCATTCAAATCTGAAGGATCTGCCGATGTTTTAATGACACACTGAAGTTTTGATTCCTCACTTTGTTCTAAAACATCATTTGCAATCCCTGATTCAAACCACAACACAGTCATTTAACAACTGACCCCTTCATAACCAGCCACAGCAACCAGTAAATTGATGTACAACACAAACCCTTCATCTCAACCGCAGGATTTTTTTACCTTGCTTTGAAGAATCTTGTCCCATGTTGGGATAAGAAAAACCTGCTGTTAAGCCCACACTATTGCAAGGAATCCAGGATGATAAATATCTCTTGTGGTTCAAATGAAACTGGCAGTTTTTGTCAAAGTTGAATAATTAATTAACTACTACATGTAGCTTTCCAACTCTCTCAAGGATGACTAGTGTAATGTCAGAACAATGTTTACTGGAATGAAGACAAGAGGCAAGGGCCTGGGGAACAGTTGGCATTCCAAGATAATAACATCACCATGCATTTTATAACAAGGTCGATAAATTGAGAGTCTTGTCGAGGGCAACAGAAGTAGGTGAAGACAGTACACACTTGTGTCATCTGTCTATATCACTCCATTTTGTACCAATATGGACCTTGTAAAAGAACGTCACCAAAGGATAAAATACGACTGTTTTTTTCCTTGTTAATACCTGACACCTAAAATTAATATTTGGTGAAAACCTCTTTCAGTTGGTCCCTCAAGAAAAATTATTGATAGCTTTAAAACATATCATTTCCAGAAGTGACTGAAACCTAATTTCTCCACACAAAGTTAATACAGTGTCATGCACACAGGTGAGGAGAAGAAAGAAATTTGTCAACTAAAGAATGTTGCTCTGATCTACCACCAAACTCCCTAAACTATCACTATAAAGAAATGTATGCCAAAACATTAGGGAGAATGGTTCTTTTAAACAGACACAGGTTTAAACTCTGCCAAGTTTTAAGACAATATTGATGGTGGAAAAT